CGGGCCGGGCCCTTCTGGGACGCGTGGGGGTGCCGCCGGGAGCCGTTGGTCGCGCGCGGCCCGGCGCCGGGCCCGCCTGTAACAGCCGTGCGTTGCCGCCTGCAGCAAGATTACCTGATGCTTTGCGCCGTGGACGAGGCGGAGGAGATGGTGGACGGAGGCAAGAAAGACGCCATCGACGATTTGAAGGAAGGAGAGCTGGAGGCGTTCGTCAGCTCCCTGGGCCTCGGCAAGTATGCGAGCAGTTGCTTGGTGGTCGAGGATGAGGAGGGCGACGGTGGCAGTGAAGAGAAAGAGAAGCCCCCAAAGAAAGAGAAAAGCAAGAAAGGAACTGACCCCCCTTCGTTAGAAAGGAAAAAAGAAAAAAAAGTCAAGGAAAAGGCAAGTGGTGTGAAAAACAACAAGAAGCAGCAAGCTGGTGGTGATCAGGACCAGCACCTTTCAGCAAAGAAAGAGAGGCTGGAAGAAGATTTTGAATTTCATGCCAGACAAGTGATACTGATCAAACCAGGGGGCAAATGGTATGATCTAGAGTACACCAACGAATTCTCTTCAGAGCCACAAAATCAGATGCTTCTGGCCAAGTATAAGGACCTGGCCCAAAAGCTGTACCAACATGAGATAGACCTGTATAAGAACAAGACAGATTATCAGAAGGGGGCCTCTTCGGCATGGATGAAAACTGTTGTGTCGTCGGGTACCTTGGCTGACAGGATGGCAGCGATGACCCTCCTCATTCAGGACAGTGCTGTCCACAGTCTCCAGTTTGTTGAGAACTTGGTAAACCTCATCAGGAAAAAGGGCAGCAAGCATCAGAGCCTCATGGCTTTGGATACATTCAAGGAGCTTCTCATTTCAGATCTCTTGCCAGACACTCGGAAATTATGGTCTTTCTCGCAGCGACCATTTAACAACATAGAGAAGATGTCGAGCGGCAACAGGGATTCAAGAGACAGGCGGTTGATACTGTGGTACTTTGAGCATCACCTGAAACTGCAAGTGGCAGAGTTTGTGCAAGCGTTAGAAACACTGAGTCATGATTCTCTGACAGCAGCAAAATCCCGAGCCCTGGCAGTTGCCCACGAGCTTCTTTGTAACAAACCCGAGCAGGAAAAAGTTCTGCTTGTTCAGCTGGTAAATAAACTGGGAGACCCTCAGAACAAAATCGCCACCAAAGCCTCTTACCTTTTAGAGACGTTACTTCACAAGCATCCAAATATGAAGGGAGTAGTGTGCAGTGAGGTGGAGAGGCTTTTGTACCGGGCAAACATTAACGTGAAAACTCAATATTATGCTATTTGCTTTCTAAATCAGATCGTCCTCAGTCATGAAGAAAGTGCCCTGGCTAGCAAACTGATAACTCTGTACTTTGGCTTTTTTCGGAACTGCATTAAGAAAAAAGATGTTGAATCGAAAATGCTCAGTGCTCTTCTTTGTGGGGTAAACAGGGCTTACCCTTACGCTGAGACTGGTGATGAGAAGGTGAAAGAACAAATGGACACGTTGTTTAAAGTTCTGCATCTTGTGAACTTCAGTACCAGTGTCCAGGCCCTGATGTTACTGTTCCAAGTGATGGACTCCCAGCAGACTGTGTCAGATAGGTACTACACAGCACTGTACAGGTAAGTGGCAGGTTTGCATTTCTTATGTAAATTCATCTTGTAAATTTTGTTCTTGTAGAAACACTTCAATGGTGACTACTCCATCTTGCAAGTTTTGCATCTCATTGGCTGAATTTTTTTGACATTTTGTATGAGCTAGAAGAAAATACATCTGATTTCTTTGACTTAATATAGGGATAAAACGAATGGTAGTGATAGGTCCTGAGAACACAACATATGCATTTCGTCCTTTGCACTGTTTTCTGGTGGCATGTTTTAATTACAGATGTTATTTGAAACTAATTGATAACTGCTTCTTCTGAAATCACTTTTACAGGTACTGTGGTTTAGTCACGTAATAGCCTAAAATCTTGTTTCCTTTTTTTCCTGGGAGTGGGGGAGAATATTATGTTAACAAATTCTTTAGGTAATTTAATTTGTGTAGTTGAAAAACTTGTATTATAAAAGTATCTCTTTTTTTTGTCCCAGCTGATTGTTTAGATTCTTTGTAGAATCCTTGCAGGCTGCTGTTTAGTTGACCAAAGGGAAGTTGCTGAGTTTTTAAAAAGGGAACTCAAGTTCCCTTTAAAAACATGCAATGTGTTTAAGGGCCTTACTGTGCCTGGCAGCCTGGAAAAACAGTGGAGTAGAAAATGGATTTGCCACTACGTATGTCTGGTCTGACTGTGCAGCATGCTAGCTGATAAGCATTTTCTTTCTATTTTTTTTGAACATCCGAATAAATCAGATTAGTTTGTCAGTTTGAATATCTTAAACTGTTTTCAGTTGAACTAGGTTTCTTTATATTTTCTTACAGGTTTTTTATTTACTGATACAGGTTTTTTAATTTTTCAGTGTGTCATCTATATCTATAAATATTACACAGCTGTTGACAGTTCAGGGTTGATCGTAATGGTTTTGTGTCCTGGGGAACGAGCTGTCACTGATCTTTTAGATGGCACTCTGAAAAACGTAGATGATTGTTAATAGCAATTATTCTCCTATGTACATTATGACAATCAGCAATATTTTTCCCTGTGTTTTCTACAGGAAGCTTCTAGATCCTGCTTTAGCAACCTGCTCAAAGCCATCCATGTTTCTCAATCTTGTCTATAAATCTCTGAAGGCAGATGTAGTGTTACGGCGCGTGAAGGCCTTTGTGAAGAGGCTACTTCAAGTCACTTGTGGACAAATGCCACCCTTCATTTGTGGAACCCTGTACCTTCTGTCTGAGCTTCTGAAAGTAAAACCAGAGTTAAGGGTCCAGTTGCAGGATCATGTGGTATAAGATGATTTCTTTATCTCATTGTTTTTTTCAGTAAGAGCTATTTTTATAAGCTCCTTTCCCGAACCTGTTTATTACTAACCTGCCAGTTTGCTAATATGTTATGGGAGGAAGTACTTGAACAATTACAAGTGCATTAAAAATCTACATAGATTAAGGTGTTTTAAGCATTCTAGTTGGTCCTATGGACTTCATTTGTGGAGAGAGGATTATTTTGCTAAATGCTGTGTAAGTAAGCAGGTGGATATTCTTCACCTAAAAGCTTTATTAAAACGTGGCCTGTTTCTCTCTTCTGTCTGTGTCTCTGAAGTACAGCTAGGCAGGACTGGATTTTTTTTCTCTTTCTTCAAGTGAGGAGGGACCATTGCACCTGTGTCATGTAAGCTGTAAAGTTCAATTTTAAGTCCTGTATCAAGGCCAAAAATCTGTATTGCTTAAACATAAGCCGATATTTGTTTATATTTTTATATGTAGCTTCTTAAGAACTATATATGCATTTTTCTAATAAATCAGAATAAAACTGGAAAGGGAAAGCTGTTTGCTAACATTTTTTTGATGTTTAGGAGTCAGATGATGAAGAGTGCTTTAAGGATCAAGAAGAGGCTGAAGAGGCTGAGGAAAAATTTGTGGATGTAGACAAAGTAGAAGATGAAGAGAGCAGCACAACAGAAAATGCTGCTAAAACAAACATTTCAAATTCAACAGCCTCATGGGTGCATCATCTGAATATGGGAGGTAAATTAGCAAGAAATATAGTTCACTTAACTTCTAACGTTCCATAACAGTGATGTGTTGATCAAGACTTGTAAAATTAAGTGACTAAAATGTTATTTTAGTTTTTCAAATCAAAGTTTGATTCAAAACAGTCAGTCAGAATAATTTTTCTTTATCTGTCAGCTCAGCAGTGATGAAGAGTCTGTATGAATCTGGTAGTGTATTTCACTTTATGCAGTTTATTGTGTTTGTGCCTAAGCAATAAGCAGGCTTGGGATTTTTTGCTTTCATGTTCAAACACCTTCAGAGCAGTGTAGCCAAGGTTAGGATGTGTAACTGCTCATTTGCTTGTGAAGCTTGCTAGAACAATTTGTCTAGCTTTGAACTTGCTTCTAGTTTCAGTTTTTCCTGAGGACCTTTTGGAACAGAGCAGTGGTTTTCAGGAGCTTCCGTGGAAGCACGTAGGAACTCACCTGTGCACCTGATCATACGCTGGGGAAGAGCAGCTGAATATAACCCTTACTTGCCACTGAATGACTCTGTGGCCTGTCCCGCTAAGAGTGATGGGCAGCATTACTGTCATGGTGAAATGAAAACAATACTCTCATAAAATTGCCTAAGGAAATTAAAGTTGTTTTCATCTCCTCCACCCCTCAGGCAGGAAGAGTGGAGCTTTGTATGATCCTATGCACCGAAGTCCTTTGTACTGTGGCGCTGAAAGTACAAGCCTTTGGGAGCTGAAGAAGGTAAGGCATTCTTACGTTGCTGATTAGTCTATTTCTTAGTGTGGCTCTTGCACTGAGAGAAGAAAATTAACATGTTTATTCTTGGAGTAGCTACCTGGGTAACATAACAGAAAGGCTAAGGCTGACACATTGCTCAGCTTTAAGCTTGTGTATGTTACATACAATGCTGATGTTCTGGAGTAGGCAACAGGAATTTTTAAGTGGAGATTTGGACAATAATAATCTTTTTTGATTTTTGGATCTTAGCTTTATATCACTAAGACTTTTTAGTGTTGAATTAAATAAAATTGTAAGTGAGAATGTTAGTTAACGCAAACAAAAGGTTAGAACTTGAAATTCTTCAGTTGTTCAAGGGCAGAGCAAGCCCATCAGCGCTTCTACAGGCATCTGCGCGTTATTTGGTGGGTTACAGAGTGGTCTTAAGACAAAGTGGTGCTTTCAGGAGTCTGATACGTCAACATGAGTAGTGATTGTGTTTAATTTTAAAGTAGAAATAATAAGTGATTCATGTTTTTCAGCTTTCTGAACATTTTCATCCATCTGTGGCCCTATTTGCAAAAACAATTCTAGAAGTAAGTGCTTTTACTCATCTGTAACTTTGAAGTTTGATTTTTATGCTAGCTGTCTTTTGCCATTTGAAAAAATAAATTATAAAGCCTCCTTGCACTCTGCAGGTAACTAGCAGCTTTGCAGCACTGTAACATACCCTCAAATGCAAAGCTTTTAATGGAATTGAAGTGTTTTCTGTAAAAGAGACTGCTCACAGAAATAATTAACTTGGTAGACATGTCAGTATTACATGATTCTTAAAGGTTTTTTAGAATTTTGGTCTATCTTTTTATTTAACGTGGGTTTTTTATGTGAGGAGACCTCCTTTTGGAACAAATGATTTTTTAATACTGCTGTGGTATCATGCCACTCAAATGGTATCATAATACTCAAATCTACACAAATATATATTTAAAATAATTATTTTCGTTTGAATAGATGGTATCCAAATAGTGCTGAGTATTAACTGCTGTTACCACAGTACATCACAAGGCAGTTCACCAGTGAAACAAAGTGAAGGAGGTGGGTTTTAGTTAAGAAAATACTGAAATTCCAAAAATAAGAACCTATAGGGGGGTGTATTAACTGGTCAGGCTGATGTGATGAAGTATCCCCAAGTCTTTGTCTTTTTAAACTGTGTTTTAATGTTGTTCTTGGACTGTGTTTAGTCTCTGTCTTTCTGAAATGAAGACCTTAACGATTTTTGGCTTTTTTCTTCTTCCAGGGAAATCACATTCAGTACTCTGGTGACCCTTTGCAAGATTTCACATTGATGAGGTTCTTGGATCGTTTTGTGTACAGAAATCCCAAACTCCATAAAGGCAAAGGTATGAACTTAGCTGTACACATTAGCATATGATCTTGGTTATTGATGGTGACCAAACGCTCTTTCTCTCGGACTGCCAAATGATGCTTTGTGCTTGTCAAGTGTTCAGGTTGCATGTGGTGCAACAGAGGAGTGGGATCAGTCTTCAGGGCTGCAAGAGAGATGGCTGCAACTCAGAACCAGCTGACAGTCACATACTGCTGCCTCTCACATCTGCGCTGCAGAAATTGCTGACCTGGCAGGAATAAGCAAAGTGATAGGGGAATGTAAAGACTACAGACTGGCTGAGGTTGAAAGGGACCTCTGGAGGTCATCTACTCAAGCAGGGCCACCTAGAGAAAGCTGTCCAGGTGGCTTTTGAATGTCTCCAAGAATGGAGACTCCACTGCCTCACTGGGTAACCTGTGCCAGAGCACAGTCACCCTCACAGTGAAAAAGTGTTTCCTGATGTTCAGACGGAGCCTCCTGTGTTTCAGTGTGTACCCATCACCTCTTGCCCTGTCATGGGCACCACTGAAAAGTGCCTGGCTCTGTCCTTTTTAGACCCTCCCTTCAGGTATTTGTATACATGGGTGAGTTGCTGTGATAGTGTCACTGGGCGAGCCCTTGGCCAGCAGCCAACACAGCTGTTCACCTACTCCACCCCCAGCCCCAGGGGACAGGGGAGAGGATTGGGGGGCAAGGGTAAGGAGGCTTGTAGGTTGAGATAAGAACAGTTTAATAATAGAAATAAAACTTAAAATAATACTGATATTAAAATAGTAGTGATAGTAATAACAGTAACAAGGTATGCAAATGAGTGACACACAGTGCAACTGCTCACCCCCCACTGACCAAGCCCGGCCCGTTCCCAGATAACGATCCCAGAGGAGCGACAATCCCGAACCGAAACCGCAGTCCCAGAAGGGCGACAGCCCGAGCCAAAGCCAGAGAGAGCTAAAAGAGGAAGAGCCCCTCACTAATATACTGGACATGATGTGATACGATATGGAATATCCCATTGGCATATCCAGACACCGATTTAGCTTATTAATTTAAATATTCCTCACCCCCTTAGATCTTGCACTTGTAGACTAACAAAACATGAAGTCCTTCCCTTCCAGCAACAAAAATGCAAACACTGGTGTGTTATCAGTGTTTCTCTTGTAACAAATCCCACCTGAAAGCAAAGTGCAGCACTATTCCAGCTACTAAAAAGAAATCCAGGTCTATTTCCCCCAAGCCTCCTCTTCTCCAAGCTGAAAAATCATAGCTCTCTCAACCTTTCTTCACATGAGAGATGCTCCAATCCCTTCATCATCTTAGTGGCCCTTCACTGGGCTTTCCAGTATACCCATGTTTGCCTTGTACTGGGAAGCCCAGACTTGGACACAACACAGCGCTTCAGGTGTGGTCTCACAAGTGCTGACTAGAGGGGAAGGATCACCTCCCTCCATCTGCTGGCAACACTCCCCTGAATGCAGACAAGGTCACTGTCAGCCTTTTTTGCTGCAGGGGCACATTGCTGGCTCACAGTCAACTTGGTGCCCACCAGGACACCCAGGCCTCTTCTGCCAAGCTGCTTTCCAGCCCAGCATCCCCCAGCATATACTGGTGCATGGGGTTGTTCCTCCCCAGGTGCAGGGCTTTATTCTTCCCCTTGTTGAACTGCATGAGGTTCCTGTCAGACCATTTCTCCAGCCTCTTGAGGTCATTGTGGATGGCAGCATGACCCACTGGTGTATCAGCCGCTCCACCCAGCTGTCTATCAGTAGTAATAAATTTGTTTCTGATTTATGTTCTGCTACAGAAAACACCAGCAGTGTGGTAATGCAGCCGAAGAAGAAGCAGTTCATGAAAGATGTGCATAGTCTTGCAGGTAAGCCAGCTCCTTTTCAGTTAAGATTTTGATGGCTAAAAAATTCTTTGCTGGTTGTTGTAGATGTGTCATCTGTGCTGTCTGTGCTATTTCTCTTGGCAATGAAAGGTTTTCAGAGGACCTCTGCATTATTTATCAGATGGCACTGGACATCTGTGTGCTTCTGTCTGTACATGCTGTTTAACCTTTTAAAAGAATAACCATTGTTTCAACTTGAGGTAAAAACAGTTCTTTCTTTGTTTTTGCAGTCAACAGTAAGGAGTTCTGTGCCAAAGATGAAAGCAAAATCCCAGTGGACGAAGTGTTTTTTCACAGGTAATGTAATGCTTGTGAACATTCATTTTGAGTGTTGTTTTTTTGTGTAATGCCATCAAAACCCCATTACATTCTGTAAGTATTCTCTGGTATTCCAAGTGTTTGCAAAATTTGATTAATTTGAGTGACTTGTGATGATAGTGTTTTCCTTAGAACATAATTTCAACATTTGTGGAAAGTGCTTAAGAAAGAATATCACTTATGAACAAAGGCAATCCATGCTTGTAGTCTAAAATTAAGTAAGTTGACATTGTAATAAAGAAGCCTTAACCAATGGGTAATGATTAACATGTTGTGGGTTTTAATTCTTATTAGAAGTATAATAGCATTAGAAGTATATTTATTTAAAAATCTGGGATATACCTTGTTTATGTTACTAGCATCGAAGCTTATTGGAATGGAACAGGGCAAAAAAAGTCAGGAGCTAATTTTCTGTGTATTTATTTTTTTATTATTCATAGTTCTTTCCATTTAGTTGGGTTTCCTTTTAGATTATGATATAAAAATGCAGCTGTAATACTAAAATTGAAGTGATACACAGTTGGCAAAGATTTGTGCTTATTAGATAAAAATACTGGTTACCTGTGAGTGTCTCCTTAGGAAATCAGTGTTTGAATTAACTGCATTTATTTTGTTTCATTCACTTTGGTGTTTTTTTTTATTTAGTATATTCATTGCTATAGGGACTTTTAAAATTTTTTGAAATATCAGGTTAATGGAACTTACTAATTTTAACTAATTGATATTATAATATTGATACATATACTAATAAATAAATAAAATAGTGTTATTAATTATGAGATTAAAGAAAAACAGCTTAAAAACATACCCCTGTTAACAGTATTATTACACTGAAGATGACTGAAACTGAGATTATGCATTTAAAGTCTTCCATGTGAAGTGGTCTACTCTTTTGCTCTTGTGTGTGATCAAAATTGTCTTCTGTGTTTGGTAGTTCTTTAATATGAAGTGAAGGAGAGAAAGTGGTTTAAAATGGCTGACAGAAAAGCACACAAAAGAGGGCTACGGGGGAAGTGAATCTCTTCTATGCATTCCCCCCCTCCCCCCCCATAAGATTCAAGTTGAACTTGATCCTCCCTTCCTTATCAGTATAAAGCAGATTTTCACATCTTTCTTGTGCCCTCTTATAAATTCACTGTGTTCAGAATAATTTCTGGGACCTTTGTCTGTGAGATTTCTTTGTTTTAAATCTTACAGTAGTGGCTTACTCTTTGAAAAACAAAGAAAATATGAATCTCTGATTTGAGATGTGTTTGAAACCATTACTTACAATTTTCAAGTGGCAACATACACATAAAACAATGTGCAGGTTTGGGGTTTTTTTAATAAAAAAGCTTTTTATAAAGATCATAATCTGTAATTTTGTATCTGAGAGCAATATATTTTATCAGATTTTATTCAAAGTTTGATAAGAGGAGGGAGAAGCAAAAGCGTCAGGATGATGAAGAAAGTGTGGAAGATGTAGATGATGATGAATTTGAAAGAGCATTGGGTAAGGTTGTGTTTTTTCTTGCAGTAACTGTCCCAGTGTTTCCTTCTTTTGCAAATGATTAATTTGTCCTTTTTATAGTTTATATTGTATAAAAGAGACAGATACAGGAATATGGAAGTGGAAGAAAACTGGCTTTCCAGTTCCCATTCTATACTACTCCAGCCAGCAGTTCATACTGTCCCTCCCATAAGTAAAACTGGATGGCCACCTTGTAAAAGAGATCTTGCTCTCTGCACTCCCGTAGTGCTCAGCTTGTTCGAGTCGTTTGAACATAAGCGCATGAGTGGTTGTTTGTGCCTTTCTGTTCTTAGTGTAGTCTGAGAGTTCAGTAACTTTTTCTACCGGCATGTAACATTTCCTTCCATTCTTTCTTTGCTGCTTGGCCTTTTTCAGTCTTCCTTACAGTTTCTGTCATCATTCCTAACACCTTTCATTAGGTTATTTGTTCAGTTAGGTCCTTGGCAAACTTCTGCAGTAGTCTTAGCTCTTCCAGTAGCATGTACTTGGTTTGCTTTGGAATTAGTGTATGATCTGTTCCAGAATCTAAATTTGTTAGTGTACCATAAAATGTCCATTATTTTATTATTTCATAGTTTACTTTGACAGTAATATATGTATTTGAAAAAGAAAAAAAATCCAGTTAGCTCTCCATAACTGTTTTTTATAATATTTTTAGAGAATTTTGAACTCCCATAGCAGGATGCTTCCTTAGTGACGCAATTGGTATGGTCTTAGTTATGACAAGAATCCGTTACTAATCGTGTTTGTTGTTTTATTGTTACTACCTCAAATAACTTGCTTCATAAACTCAGAAGCTTAAATTAAGGACCCTCTAATTATAGCATTTATTCTTTGAAACAGAACAGTTGTAATTTTTTAGATTTTATTTTTACCCGCTATTTTATATAGCAATTTGTTCCTAAGTGAATCCGATGGTAGGAGCTTTGATCCTCTAGTCTGCTTGCTTTTCTGTCAAAAATTATACTGAATACTTCTAATCTGAAAATTAACATACAGAATAGCTGGCAGGACCCTTGCTTGGGGTATCTTAATTGTTCTGTCTGACTGGGAGCAAGGGTTTGAGACTTGTGATAGTCCACCTGCCAACTATGTTTGAATCTCTGGGCAATTGTGTGTCCATTTGTATCTGTCTGCTTCCCACATCATCTAGGTCTGGCCAGAAATTACATCCTGGGTAAAAGAAAACTTTCATTGTTTTTCAAAGAAAAATCTTTTTTTCAGAAAATGTCCAGTTTGCTTTTAATAACTGTTTTGTGGAGTATTTTTCTGTAGGAGTATGAACCCTTTGGTATCAGGGCCCTTTGTTACTGATGCAGATCATATAAACTGTTCAGGAAAATGATACCTAAAAATAATATACTTTGCAATGACTTCATATTTCTTTATTTGAGTTTATTTTGTAATAATAAACAATTTCCCCTCTCAGATACATTTGAAGCTGCTGATAATGCCATTGATGTTGGTGCGGATGACCTTGATTTTGCTAGGTGAGACTTTAAATTGCTAGGTGAGACAATTAAATTTAATCTCATTTTAAATACCTGTATAGAGTTTTACTCTGCAAAATTGCATAGACCTTTTTCAGAAAGATTCAGAATATCACCTTGCAAAAAACGCAATAGCAGTTGAACGCTGCTTTTCTCCATGTCCCACAATTTAGCATTGTGATCCTGTGGTGCTTACAGTCTGCTGGCTTAATGTGTGAGACTTGTAGTATTTTATTTATACAATGCAGTGACCCACTAAGCAAGATAAAATCTCACTTGTTTTTCATTGTCTCAGGTTTCTGTTTGAAAATTACCAAGTACAAAAGTAAGCAGAATGAGAAATAATGGTACTGCTGCTGTAAAGACTGGTTGTAACTGGACCTAACGTTGTAAATAAACTTTGTGGAATCCAGAATTACAGAGCTCAGTTCTCAGGAAGTCAGCAGTTGCATTAATCACAGAATCATTTAGGTTGGAAAAGACCTTTGAGATCATCAAGTCCTACCATGAATGATTAAGTAGCCTCTTTTTACTTAAAGTATCTGCAATACAGCTTTCCAATCAGCACAGAAACTTTTTTTCTTGAAGTGAAAGGAGAATTAAAGCTTCTAGTGAAACCTGAACATTTTTGTGATCCAGACTGGTGTGAGTTAAAAATAGCGAAGAGGAGACAAAACCGAAGTAACCCTCTAGTACATGAAGAACCATGTTTCCTTTCTTAAGGGAAAAAAAAACAACCAACCAAACAAAAACTGAGTCTTATTTCTTCATTAAGGAGAGTTGCTAGGGATGCCAGCAGTTTGTGTGTTTTACAGAAAAGACTTTCTGAACAGGAACAAAGGCATGGAGGAGATAAAATACAGAATGTGACATTTCTGTTAATTTAAGAATAGGATTCTTTCCAGAGCTTCTTAGAACGGTTGACTTCTATAATTAACGGTTCCATATGCTGATGTTGAAAACATACTTGAGGGCATCAGAGATGTTTCTTAGGTCTCAGCCTACAGTTACAGTATTTTTCAGTGATGTTGAACTTTTCTAACATAGTGTTTGCTGGTAGATGGAGGTTATCTGGATGCAAACAGTATTTTGCCAGATGAAGCACTGAACTTGCTACATATTTTTTTAGTAATGTAAAAAAACAAGCCCAAGGTGGTAAGAAAGGCCAAAGAGGTGAGGAATCCCGTGCTGATTGGGAGGATTCTGATGATGAAGATGAATTCAGTGATCTGGATGATGAGGAAGTCTCCTTAGGAAGTATGGAGGAAGACTTTGAAGAGGATATGGATGAAGAGGGAGGTGTATTTATGGATGTGTCTGATGATGATAACAGCCAAGGTAAAGTAACATTTATTATTAAAAAATGAGGAGAAAAAGCTTTCAAAATAATTACCTATATACATTCAGATTTAGTTACCTGGGGGGGGAGGTTTGGCTTTTAAGTAAAGAAGTGACAAGTCCTCCTCTGGACAATGAAGTCTTAAGAGAAACGTTTCCTGGCACAGTCTCCTGGGTGAGACTGGGAATTAGGCATCTGGGTATAAAAACTTGTGAACAAGACATGTTTGTTTCATTCTGGAAACACTGGCAGTAACAAAAGCAGGTTTATGCACAAATAACTGGTTACAGTAGGTAGAAATATTAAAAGATCTCAAAGAGACAAAAAAAAATATAGTACTTGGTATTTTTTTATTTCTTTAGACCTAGCTACTGTTGATGTTTTTAGATGAGGTAACTTTTATTTAAATTGTTGTCTCATAAGTAACAGCTTACTCTTCTAATACAGCTATGCACCCAGATTTTTATTACCACTGTAATAATAACCGATTCTTGCACCTGCATGGTTTTAATTATATTTTCAACTGAAAAGCACAGTTTACACAGGATACACTTTATGTGGCTGGAAAAGCACAGATTATTGGGGTATTTCAACTAGTAAGATGAGGGTAAAGGAGGTAAACTATTCATACAGCTGTCAACTCATTAATCTTTCATGAGATTATTATTTCACCAGATTTACCAAGCAAACATTGAAGGTTTACACAACACCTGCTTTTAGCCTTCATATTTTATGTATCTTAATATCGTATTATCGTATTTCATTCCTTTTTGGTGCTATGTAAAAAAAGCACAAAGAATGGCACACCACTGACCAATTCTTAATTGTCTGGGTTGAAGAAATCCCAGATTTGGTTGTGCACGCTGTGTTTTTAAAGTCAGGACTCAGACCATTATGACAAATATGCATAAAAAGAAATTTTAGTCTCTGCTGTGCTTTAAATACATGTCCATGGTGTGAGAATGAGGGAGTGATGTGTTGTTTTTTTTTTTCCTGTCAGACCCAAACAATGACAAGCAATTGAAGTCTGTCAGTAAAAAGGGCAAGAGAAAGAAAGATATTAATTTTATGGGATCACTTGAAGGTAAGGAAACACTGCTGATTTCCACTTGAGGAGGCTTAATAGAAATACAGAGTCTGGAATACTTTGGAATCAGAGTATTTTAGTACAGTATATTATATAAATTTTTGGATCTGAGTTTAGATTTGAATAAAGCATAAATTAAAAGGAGGTTGTCCTCCAACCAGTGTGGCCTAATTCAGAATGACAATCTGCTGTTGAAGGAGTGGGAATCAAAGGAGGAACTTTGAAGGAAGGATGGAGTTTTACTGGTGGTTTGTGCATCTATTATTGACATAACGCCTGATGCACAGATTTGTGCTCTTTGGTTCTTGGTCGGAAACTTTTTTTTCTCTTTTTTTAGGGGAGGTGAAGAATAAAGGTTTCTAATGTAGCTATTTTAGATAGTCTCATTAAATAAATTTTAAAAAAACCTAAAAACATGGTAACACTGTTTTAATGTCTTTGTGAACTTGAAATTCTGTCTCATAAGAATAATACTTTTTGTTTGAAGGATCCAACCGAGGAAAGAAGAGAAAACTCAAAGATGCCAGTATATTGGCATCTGCGGAAGAGGTGAGTTTGATCAGCACTCAGTAAAAAGTGATCAAGCATTTTACCTGATTCTTTGTAATAAAATACTAAAATTTCTCTCTTTAAAGTTTGGCTATCTGCTGGATGAAAATACTGGGTCCAAGTTTGACAATATCGGAATGAACGCCATGGCCAACAGAGATAACGCAAGTAAGTACATGCTACCAATAGCAGATCATTGTAAGGCTGGTTTGCTTCTTTCTCTTCAGATTCTGTACTTAAAGAGATGTACCTTCTTTAACTGAAATACACACTGGGTCAGAAATGACACAGGAGGGACAGTAAGACATTACTTTGTTTTCTTCAGTTAGTAGAGATGCCCAGTATGCTGTTTGTCAAGCATTTGTGTGAATTTTGCTCCCATAAAGAACGTCCTGGATTCTTGTGAAGGGAAGGCATAAGGCAGGGCTGTCTTTATCTGCCTACTGGAGTATTTCCTTGCAGTATTGGTGAAGCAAAAGTAGTTTCCCAAAAATAATTCTAATGAATTAAATGTCTATGTACTGATTGAATAATTATTCCTTTGTAGAGCTTTTACAAGTCTTGCTGGTGTCACCTGAAAAACGTTAACAGCAGCACTCAAGCACTGTGTACTCCTAGCACAAGCATGTCTAGCGTTAGTAAAATACAAAGCAATGACAAGAGTGGTCTGAAACTCTGAGATTCTGAGATGGTAGGGTATGTTTTGTGAAACGAAAATACCCAAAACTTTCTCCAGTGTCAAAAAACATGAGCAGTCTGCACTTTATTAACATCTATACAGTAGCCAAGTTTTAACTTTTACATGATGCAACTGTATTCCACATCATGGTCAGAGGTATCCATCAGCTCCTTATTTCTCCCTTTTCCTCTTACAGATATCAAACAGATCCAGTGGGAAATAGAGCGTGACAAGTGGCTTCACAATAGGGATGTGAAAAGCATCATCAAAAAGAAGAAACAGTTCAGGCACAGAGGGCTGAAAAACAAGTACAAAGGCAAGAAATCAAAACGATGAACTGGACATTTTAATCAGGATGTTTTTACAATAATTATTCTAAAATAATTTTTTAATTAATGACACATCTTTCTTACTTCAGTTCTTGCTGCTTAACCATGTCATTTGGTCATTCTCCCTTATGCCGTGAATTCCAGACCACTCATTGGATTTGTAATACACTGAAAAACAGGAAAACCCATGTCAGCTGTAAGTTAGGCATGTCTGAAGGTGAGCCACTTGGGGGGTAGTTTTGTTGGACAGATACTCCTCCAGTTCTGAGGACTCTGTCCAACAGCCAGACACTCCAGCCACACCTCTGCATGACAGTAAACACTTCTGCAGTCTCTCTTGGGATAAGTTTTAAGCAACAATAAAATTGGTTTTATATGTAAGATGCAACAGAAGCTCCAGCCATCCTTCTGAAGCCTACAGCTACAAACCTACCTTCCAGAATTGATGGAAACCTCTTCTGCATTGTATATCTGAAATCTGACAAGAAAGATAAATCACAGTTACTTTATCCAACATATTTTAAGATGAATAATTAAATGCACTATTTTTATAACTACATTAATTTTACTTAAATTTGTGCTCCTTAGTTACAGCCACCATTAAATAATGGGATCTGAATTTACTTTTTTCTTTTTTTTTTTAATTGTATCCCAGACTGTATTCAGGTTACTCTCATGTGCAACCCTGTCACAGAAGCATAGAATGGTTTGGGTTGGAAAGGACCTTAAAGACAATCTAGTTCCGACCCCCCTGCTGTGGACAGGGTTGCCAACCGCTAGGTCAGGGTTGCCCAGGGCCCCATCCAACCTGGCCTTGAATGCCTCCAGGGAGGGGGCATCCATAACTTCTCTGGGCAACCTGTGCCAGTGTCTCACCACCCTCTGGGTGAAAAAATTCCTCCTAATGTCTAACCTGAATCTCCCCCTCTTAGTTCAAAACCATTTCCCCTTGTCCTATCACTACCTGCTCATGTAAAAAGTCACTCTCCCTCCTGTTCATAAGCTCCCTTCAAGTACTGGAAGGCTGCAATGAGGTCTCCCTGGAGCCTTCTCTTCTCCAAGCCTGAACAGTCCCCATTCTCTCAGCTTGTCCTCATAAGAATCATAGAATCTTCTGGTTGGAAAAGACCTCTGAGATCATAGAGTCCAACCATACCTGTCCACTACTAAATCACATCTCTGAGCACCGCATCTAGCCATCTTTTAAACACCTCCAGGGATGGTGACTCAGAGGTGGTCCAGCCCTCTGATGATCTTCATGGCTCCCTTCTGCCCCTGCTCCAACAGCTCTACATCTTTCTTGTACTGGGGGGCTCCAGGCCTGGATGCAACACTCCAGGTGGGGCCTCACAAGGGCAGAGCTGGGGGGGACAATCACCTCCCTCACCCTGCTGGCCACCCCTCTTTTGATTCAATCCAGGATACAGTTGGCCTTCCGGGCTGCAGTCGCACACTGCTGGCTCAAGTCAAGCTTCTCATCCACTGTGACTCCCAGGTCCTTCTCAGCAGGGCTTCTCTCAATGAGTTCTTCTTCCAGTCTGTACACATACATGGGAGTGCCTCGACCCAAGTGCACAACCTTGCACTTAGCCTTGTTGAACCTCATTAAGTTCTCATGGGCCCACTTTTCAAGCCTGTCCAGGTCCCTCTGGGTGACATTTATTGTATCAACTGCACCACTTGGCTTGGTGTCCTCAGCAAACTTGCTGAGGGTGCACTCAATCCCACTCTCCAGGTCACTGATAAAGATGTTGAAGAGCACCAGTCCCAAGACTGACCCTTAGGGGACACCACTTGTCACTGGCCTCCACCTGGACATAGAGCCATTCACCACAACCCTCTGTCTGTGACCATCCAACCAATTCCTTATCCATCGAATAGTCCAGCCTTCAAATCCATAGCTCTCCAATTTAGAGATAAGGATGTGGTGTTGAAGGCCTTGCACAAGTCCAGGTAGGCTACATCAGTAGCCCTTGCTTTGTCCATCGATGCTGTCACTCCATCATAGAAGGCCACCAGATTGGTCAGGTACGATCAGGCCCTGGTGAAGCCATGTTGGCTGTCTTGGATTGCCTCCTTGTCTCACATGTGCCTTGCCATGGTTGCCAGGAGGATCTGTTCCACGATCTCCCCAGGCACAGAGGTGAGGCTCATCACAGCATTTTCTGAACTTCTTCACAATTGTCATAACCAGATACAAGCTACAGATTCAGAGGCAGCTGAATGTCTCTCACAGACTGACAGGCAAATGAAAACTGGGAAAACCACACTGTTTCCTTACGGAGCTTCAGGTGTTCACTGAATCCTTCTGTGGGCTGCTCTGGTGCTCCAGCAGAAAATGATGGAGTGATGGCTTTATGCTATTTTAATGACTTACAGCAGCTCGCAGAAGGATCTCATCGCTGCTTGTACTAGCACAAGGAAGGCAGCAAAAGCCCCATTCTGAGCACATTGAGCTGTTAGATGAGCTGACTGCACCTTACAGAACTACAGCCTGAGAAAATCTTCTGCAGAGGCAGGTAAGAACTGGGACCTAGAGCGGAAAAGGGAGAGAAATGGGAAACCGTGGAAGCCCAGCACCAGGTTACCAAGACTG